GCGCAGCGGTTCCCAAGTGTGGGATTGAGCAAAAAGAAGCCGGAGTGGCAGACGTGAGATGGGAACGTGCAAAAATCCCAGGTGCGGTTTGCCAGGGCCTTCAGGCCACAGCGGGAGTTTGGATTCCACGAAGGACCAGAAACTATGTCGTTCTTGGAAGGTTTGGTTGCTGCTGTTTGAAGCTTTGTCTTGACTGGGTGTGGGACTGTGACTTCCTGCAGTGGCAGGGTATGGATAAGGTGTCATTATGGAGGTGGGTGGGCCGAGGAATCTGGCACATACCGAGTTCTTGATTTCTCTCTACCCCGTGACCCGTCTTCTCTCTTTTGTGTTTCAGGGACTAAGCTCCTTTCCAACCTGTTGCTTTAGGACCTTATACTTATCAGGTAGCCTTGCTCTTAGTTGCCTACCAGAGCTGGACGATAAGACCCCGTGGTTGAACACGCCACACACAATCACAGGTCATGGAGGGACCAGTTGGAAGCTTCCTTCCTGCTCGCTAGCTTTCATAGTCCTGGGAGAGGCTATGAAGGCTGCTGAGGGAAAAAGTCACACACAGTGTCATCCAGCTGTGCGTCCTGCTAAAGGCAGTGATGACCAGCATGGCAAGCTAGCCCCGTGAGTGTGATAGTGGCATGGATGTTATGGGAGTAACCAGCTGCTTCCTGCTTGGCTTTGAGGAAACACATGCCTGGTATTAAGAACCCATGGTGTAGGAGCTCACAGGCCCCAGGGGGTGAATCTATTACTGCTATTCTGCTAAATGAACAATGTATGAAACCATCCTCTAAATTCTTATCTCCCTACTGTTAGATGAACATACTTCTCAGGCCTCATCAAAGAAGTTTGTCTGTGCAGCGCATGATGGTTAATATTAAAAACTCACAACTGATGAAAATGCAGAGAATAAGTCCATGGAGTACTCTGCCTCAAAAAGGGCACATCTGTACCCTGCCGCCACTAAGGCTCAGGGGCCACTGTGGAAGAAGGGACAGAAAGACTGGAAGGCAGAAAGCAAGCATACCACACAGCACACCCTCGTGACTTCCCTAGTCCTTGTATACAGCTTCCTCTGGGGACCATTTGGGAACTCATTCCTGAAGAGGGTCCAGAGCTGCTATGGAATCCAGAACTGCAATGGATTCAACTCAGACTCAGCAGATTGAGATCTTAACCTCACATGCGAAAGAAGTCAGGGATTCCCCTTTGGCCTGCTGATACGGATTTGGTATAGCCTGGATTATTTTTCTGCCAAGGGTCTAGAGGGGAGGCTAACGATGGGACCCAGCTTCTGAAGAGCAGCCAAAAATCCACACAAGGGAGATTTCTGAAGCACTGGCTGATGAAAAGCTGCATGGTCGGGTCCCAGGCCCTTGAGACTCAGAGGTCAGCTCTGGGAGTTCCCTTCCTTCTGCTTCTGACTCTGGCAGTTTCAGTGCCCCTCATCAGCAGCCCCTGTGAGTGACCACAGCTTCCTCTCATCCCACAGCTGTCTCTTCTGGGTTCTAACTAGTTCAGTGGAGACAGCTTCCTTCTTATTCCCCAGCCTGGACCCTCCGGTTGGCCTTGACTTCCCCACTAGTCAGGATGCTAACATTTGTCAATTCCCCTTGGCTCAGAAACTTAGTATCTGATCTGGAGGAGCCCAGTTCCTTCTGCCTAGTTCTGGGCCCTGAGAAAACGGGGAAATTCACAGGCTCTATAGAGCCAGAAGGTGTATGAGGAACACAGGCATGCTGACTACCTTTATGTCAATGACACAAGCTAGAATCATTTGGCAAGAAGTAACCGCAACTGAGAAAATGCTCCCTACTAAGAAGGGCTGGGGACAAGCTTATGGTGAATTTTCTTGGTTGATGGTTGATGGGGAAAGGCCTCGTGGGCTGGTGGTCCTGGGTTCTATAAGAAAGCAGGCTGAGCGAGCCAGGGAAAGCAAGCCTTAGTAAGCAGCACCGCTCCATGACCTCTGCACCAGCTCCTGCCTCTGGGTTCCGGCCCTGACTTCTCTGGATGATCGACAACGATGTGTTTATGTAAGCTAAAATAAACCCTTTCCCCCACATGTTGGTCATGGTGTTTTATCACAGCGATAGAAACCCAAATGAAGACATTAGGGTGAAACCAAGAGTGAAGAGGAAGGCAGCAACCCAGGAAGCTACCAGATTGATCCCCTGTTCCTGAGCCCGTGATCCAGATCTTACGTAGCCTCCATTGTTGCGTTAAAGCCACAGCAAAGTTAATCAGGCACATGTTTAATAGAACCCGGGTTGTTATTGAGTTACATGGTGATTTAGCTGACACCATGAGTGATTTACCAGCATACTAGTTCTTTGATTCAATTCAATGACACTTTGTTTTTCTCTACTCTCTTTATTTACTTTGCCGGGGTCTACAGTTGGGACCAATGGCACTCCCTCGTCATGCTGTCTGTATGTCACACGGGCACACAGTGAACTCTACAGTGACTGTTATCCTGAAGAGGGAAATGTAGAGCCCATCCATGTCACAGATGAGGGGAAGGGTCAGTGCTGTGTTCCCAGCTCCTTGTTCTTTCAAGAACAACAGACACCATTCCTCAATGACTCCCACTGAGCACAGGGAAGGTCTCAGAGTCTCACCTGGCGACAGGGAAGGAGGAGTGGCCGTGCATTCATGAAGCAAAGTGGAGAGGAGCCCTCTGAACCTAGGGATGGAGGTCTTAAGACTGGGGTAGTGATGTCATAGGCAAGGGGAGGGGCAGCTTCCTCTCTGCATGTTACAGAAAGAATCATCAACCCCTGTCGGCTGTCACCCTACGTTTTAAAGTGACACATTGATTTTTCTGGGAATCGGGGGTGCCACTACTGATTTCCACCATTACCTTCCAGGGATTGGCTTTCCCGTTGTTTCAATGGCATCTGTACTGGATAGTTTTCTGTCAACTTGACACAAGTTAAAGTCACCTGAGAGGAGGAAACGTCAATTAAGAAAATGCCTCCATAAGACCAGGCTGTAGGCAAGCCTATAGACATTTTCTCAATTGGTGATTGATGTGAGAAGACCCAGCCTATGGTGGGTGGTGCCACCCCTGGGCTGGTGGTCCCTGGGTTCTATAAGAAAACAGGCTAAGCAAGCCATGGGCAGCAAGCCTGTCAGCAGCTCCCCTCCATGGCCTCTGCATCAGCTCCTGCCTCCAGGTTCCTGCCCTGTTTGAGTTCCTGTCCTGACTTCCATTGATGATGAACAATGATATGGAAGCATAAGCCAAATAAACTCTTTCCTCCCTGACTTGCTTTTGGGCACAATGTTTCAGCACAGCAATAGAAACCCTAAGACAACATCAGAACTGATGAGCAGCCTGTGGAGAAGCAGTTTACTTCAGACAGATGAAGTGGCAGAGGAAATGTGTGCTCTCTTTGTGGCCTTTACAGGAACACTTCCTTTTTTTCTGGACACCGAACCTGTGTGTGACTGTGGAGGAAGCCACAGGGAAGTGCGAGAAGATGCTGAAGCCAGTTGAGTGGTCTGGTCTTTACAGTCTTGAAAGTCCCTAAGAAAAGCTACCTCAGAGTAGCAACATCAGAGAGATGTTGATGGTTCGTGGTTGTTATGGTAACCAGCAAACATGTTTGGCCTCCGGAAGCCCTGCCCCTGAAGAGCACACAGGCTTTCTCGTTATGAAACTTGGGGACTTCATCTGTTTCATCATTATTTATTTTCAAAGTTGTCAACCATAACAAATTCCTCATTACCCTGTGGCCTTCTGTGTTAAGGTTCTGGGCTAACCCCGCCCCTCCTGTTACCTCCCCAAAACACACACACACACACACACACACACACACACACTTCCACCTATAATGTAGCGTGTGGTTCTAACATCTCTCAGAGCCTCCACACCTTTACCGGAATCACAAGGAGTGTGGCAATGAGGTGACTGTCATGCTGTAGTGTGACTTTGATCTTTGTACCATTTAACAGGGGAATAAAAATACCCATTATGTCTATTTCAAAGAGAACACAATCATTTGCCTTTGCAACCCTCACATAGAATTCTAACTCTAGATGACAAATAGGTTTCCTTTTACATGTTAATTCTAAGTGAACGATAGCGGCTTCACCTCTGACAAGAAGGATCTGAGGTCCAGCTCTGTGGACAGGGATGAGACAGAAAGGTTTACAGTGCTGTGCATTCTAGGCAAGGTCAGGGAACCCCCACAGAAGGTGGGGGGGGAGGATGTAGCAGCCAGAGAAGTTGAGAAAACCTGGAGAACACAGCCCACAGAATCAGCTTAGGGCTCATAGGGGCTCCTAGAGACTGAACGGTCACGGACCCTGCATGGGTCTGAGCTAGATCCTCTGCCTATGTTCTGGCTGTGTAGCTTGGTGTGCTCGTGGGACTCCTAACGGTGGGAGTAGGGGCTGTCTCCGACTCTTGCCTGTGCTTGGGACCCTTTTCCTCCTACTGGATTGCCTCATCCAGCCTTGATATGAGGGTTTGTGCCCAGGCTTATTGGAACTTGTTATGCCGTGTTCAGTGGAAATCCCTGGGAGGCCTGCTCTTTTCTGAAGGGAAACGGAGGAGGAGGAGCGGCCCTGGGGAAGAGGGGAGGTTGGGGAAGGACCGGGAGGGGGGAGGGGAAACTGCAGTTGGGATGTAACATATGAGAGAAGACTAACTAACTAACTAACTAACTAACTAACTAACTAACTAACTAAACAAAGTACTGTGTATTTGCTTCCTTGATTTGGGACATTCCTCCATTGTCCCCTGCAATGGCTTTTGGGGGTTGGAATTTTTTCCTCCCTCTAGCTTATTGGACGTTAGTTTGCCAGTGCTGACCCATGGAAGACAAACTTCTTATATGCCAGGCTAAAAACTATGTTTTAATTCTTTTAAAACATTTCAGTATTTTACTGGCAGAAGTGAGATGCATTTATTCTTAGACATTTGATAAATCCTGGAGAAGAATCTAGCATAAAATAAGGATCGTCTCATCCAACATGTCATCACTCCCACATAACTTCACACAGTGGTCAGAGGTTTCGAGTCGTTTCGTCTGATTTATCTTATTTTTTAAAATGATTATTAGTTGCTGTGTAGACTGGGCTGTGGACAGCCACTGTGGATTCTGGAGACTCATTCCGGAAGCTCATGTAGAAGCCAAGTTGGGGGAGAGGCTGATACAAGGGCGGATTTGGTGTACATCTTGAATGTAGGGACCAGGAGACTTGTTCATGGATGGCTGGAAGCTATGAGGGAGGAAAGCCAGGAAAAGATAGAATCCTAGCTGCTGGTCCCACACACATCTGGTTCTAAGCAACCAGGCGCTCCACCAGTCTGCCCTCAGGGACCTAGGTGACAATCGGCCGCCAAGGTTCAACACGTTCCCACTGTCACCACAAATCTTCTGTTCTCCCCTTGTGCATGAGCTCTGTCCCCTTTATAAAATGCCAGTGCCTTCGCTCCCTGCTCTTTTCCCCTTCCATGCTTGCTCAGAGGCAGCCTCTGAATCCCCCCCCCCCAAATAAACCTCTCTCGTGAGATCTTTTGCATGGTGTGACTTTGTGGCGTTCCTTGGCTTCAACCCACCAAGATAACTTTCGCTGCTAAATCATAACACCAGTGAAGTGACCATCCATTTACTGAGGTGGGGTGCAATGAGAAAGAAGTGAGTGTGTGGTGTTTGTGCAGGTGGGGGTGGCGGAAGGCAGTGTCAATTAAATTTGGATACGAGAAACCGAGTAAGTAAAGGTTTCATGTCTGAGGGAGCATGTCTAGTAGCTGCGTGGATATATGCTGGGGGCCCAGGAGAAGAGGACGGAGAGAGAGATTTTAATCTCGGGATCATCAGCATAGCAAGGATGTAAAAGAGATGAGGTGGGCGTAGTGAGCTAAGGGTGGATGGGGAGGAGCCATAAGGACAAAGACTGGGAAGAGGAGGAGGTTAGAGCCTGGAGGGAGAAGAAGCAGCCAGGGACCAGGGAGGAGAAAGGAAGTGCTTGCCCCTCTTTTTGCACACATACGTGTGGCACGAATCCTAATTGGTCTTAATAAAAAACTGGAGCCAGATATCGGGGTCGATGCTGAAAGATCAGAGGAAACAAGCCACAGCCACTTCTCACCTCGCCAACTCCTCAGCCGAAAGGACTGAGCGTCTGCCTCCTCCCGCCTTATATTCCTCTCTCTGCCCAGCCACGTCACTTCCTGTCTCCACCTCCCTAGTGCTGGGATTAAAGGCGTGTGCCACCACTGCCTGGCCTCTATGGCTAACTGGTGGCTGGCTTTGCCCTCTGATCTTCAGGCAAGCTTTATTTGTTAGAGCATTCACAAAGTATCACCACACACACACACACACACACACACACACACACACACACACATTATATTTTCCATATGCACATGCATATTTTATGTGAGACTATGTATTTCTGCATATGATGTATTGGGCTTTCATTGGACTTTACCAGGAACACTGCTTTGGGGGGTGGGTGGGTCCTGTGTAGTTGGACTCTCTTTGGACCACCAGCTCCCAGATAATGACTTCTTATTCATTGTGAAAGTTTGGCCTTAGCTTAGGCTGGTTCCCAACTAGCTCTTATAAAAACATTAACCCCTTATAAAATAAAATTAAAAAAAAATTAACCTGTTTTTATTAATCTACATTCTGCCACGTGGCTTGTCACTGCCCCTCTTGTCACTGTATGTCCCCCCGCCCCCCCATTTCTCTCGCTCTCCCCAGAAGTCCCGCCTATCCTCTCCCGCCTAGCTATTGGACATTCAGCTCTTTATTAAACCAATCAGAAGGTGCCTTGGCAGAGACACATCTTCCCAGTGCACTGGGACTTGAAGCTTGGGCCTTGCACATGGCAGGCAAGTGATTCGTTGTTGAGCTGTCTGTCCCCTTAGGTTTTTATTTTGAGGTAGTGTCTCGCTAAGTTGTGCTTGAACTCATAATTCTAGAACTCATGTTGTAGCCCCTTCCTTCTGAGGAGCTAGGATTACAGGTTCAAGCCTGACTTTTTTTTTTTTTTTTTGAATGTCCTTCTGAGGTACTATTTTGAAAGACACCCAAGTATTCTATCCTGGTTAATATGATCTTGGGAACAACAGTCTTTAGGTGTACCTGGTGTTTCTTTAGACTAAATTCCGAAATTGGGTTTACTGGTAGACAAGAAAACCTTTAAGGCTTTTTAATATATTTTTGTTGTTGTTATTGGTGATGGTGATTTTGGAGACAGAGTCTCACTATGTAGCTCCGGTTGTCCTGGAACTTGCTCTGTAGACCAGGCTGGCCTCAAACTCACAGAGATCCGCCTGCCTCTGCCTCCTGAGTGCGGGGATTAAAGGTGTGCGCCGCCGCCGCCGCCGCCGCCGCCGCCGCCGCCGCCGCCGCCACTACCACCACCGCCTGACTTTGATAAATGTTTTAAAATTGCCTGTCTAAGAAGTTTTAGCAAGGTTGTACCCTCCACCAACAATTAATTGAAACTGTGTATTCTGATCATCTCTGCCACAATTAAAATTGTGCGGGGGAGGGGAGAAGGAGGTGCTGTCTAGTTTATTTCCACTTGCATGACTTGATTAACAAAAGCTGAACGTCTTATATGCTAGGGTTCCTTGTGTGCAATGTGGGCTGCGAGCAGTTAACTCCTACACCCAACCTCCCATGAGTCATGAGTATGAAAACATGACTGTATAAACATCATGCCACTCAGTCAGGTGGAGGGCTGGTGTGAGGGGGACCAGCTCCCTCTTATTGTTATAAAAGGTGAGTGGATTGAAAGAAGAACTTCAAACAAATCAGTGTCAGGAGGGAGAGGGCAGACATCACCAGACCAACCAGGCCTGCTAGGCCAGGGTTTGGGGTTCAGGTCTCTACACCTGCTCCTCTGTCCCCCCTGCTGACTTTAAGAAAGCGGATCACAACACTCTGTAACAACTCACCCCAATGCCATACACACACACACACACACACACACACACACACACACACACACACACACACACGTGTCATTGTGCAGACATACACTCTTACAGGGACTCCCACGCACAGCTCTGCTGAATGAACATGGTTGTCTTAAGGTCAGCATAGGAGTGAGCAGAAAGTGCATGGGAGAGCAGAAAGCTGGAGGAAAAGGCCTGGAAAGCCTTGAACAGGGAGAAATGAGGAATTTGTAGATAGACGGATATATAGAGAGACAGTTAGAAACACAGGACAGCCTCGGGAGGGCCTGGGTTTTCCAAACCCACCAGCCCCTTCTGGCTCTACTAAAGGGCTTTTTAAAGGAAATGCCAAGGGGTGGAGCAAAGGACCTCCCCCCAGCACAGCCAAGTGCAGACCATCCCAAACACCTGGTGACCATGAACATGGTCCAGCCATCCTCTAATGCAGCCCTGCTGGGTAAAGCAAGCTCAGATCTCACCAGGAAACCCTTGTGGGCTCCCACACTGGTGAGGAAGAAGAAAACACGTTCTGAGCTAGTCTTTTAGGTGAGGGGGTGGGACAGATCTTTGTCACCCCCACATGGTGTATTTCTCACAGCTCAGTGCCTCCTCCCACCCAGCCGGCCAGCCGACTTCCTGTGCTGCCCAGCCTAGGAAAGGGCGTGCTCACTGAGAAGCCGAGCATCTCTCAGCAGCCAGCCCCTCGGCTCACATGCCAAGGGTGGAGGATGTGTTGCCTTGTGAACCACTGTCCACATTGCCCAATTGAACAACAAACATGGGCCGGGGCCCAGGGGCAGCAGGCCCCACATTCTGCGTCCTTTCCTCACAGGATAGAGCATTTCAGCTCCTGAGAATGCGCCATACTGTCTTGCTGGGCATCCGCCCAGCAGAAGGGGAAAGACTGTGTTGTGAAACTGTAGGAAGGATGACAGAGCATCTCTGCTGGTCTGCAGCCTGTCAAGGGGCGGTGGCATCCTGTTGGTAGGATGTGATGTGGAAATCCCAGATGCCAAGGAGATAGGAATCTTAAGAATGTGTGGGACACAAAGATAGGCCCCCAAATGGGGGACTCTGACCATCTTTTATGCAATATTTCTTATTTCATAACTGTATCGGTTGGAACAAGAAACCTTAAAAATGCAACCCAGAGTTGTCGGGACAGCACAGACATCTGAGACGGTTTCTGTGAGAACCAAGAATGATTCCCAAGAAGACAAGGCGCTCAGGCAATCCAGGTTCCAAATCTGAGGAAACCATTCTGTGAGAAGTGAAACAAAAATGGAGGACGTTCAATAGAAACCACATCGTTGTACAGTGTGTGTGTGTGTGTGTGTGTGTGCATATGCATATGCATGTGTGTGTGTGTATGTGTGTGCGTGCATGTGTGTGCTTGTATGCGTGTGTGTATGCGTGTGTGTGTGTGTGTGTGTGTGTGTGTGTGTGTGTGTGTGTGTGTTATTTTGAGACAGGGTCATGCGGTGTAGCTCTGACTATTCTGGAACTCACTATGTAGATCAGGCTGGCCTTGAATTCAGAGACCTTCCTGCCTCTGTCTTCTCTGCCGAGATTAAAGGCGTGCACCACCACACCTGGAGCCCTTTTTAAATTATAAAATAGTGTACTGTCATGTAAAATTTGTCCTACTTACAGGAGTGAGAGCTCAGCCAGGTGAAGCAAAAGCTAGTTTCCCCCATTTCCTTACCTCACTACCACCCTCTAGTAATTGAGTGTGTATTTTCTAGAGATTTTACTATGCAATTAAAATATTTGTAATTATAATTTATGAATATTATACATTATTATATATGTGATATAGGTAATAATAGTACTTATAATTGTAGTTCATAGATGGTATTCAATAAATTCAAACGTACTTTTGCTTTGATTTACTTATTTTTTCGCATTAATTAGTTTATTGTGTGCGTGAGAAAGAGACTGTGTGTGCCACAGTTCTTGGTTGGTGGCCAGAGGACAGCTTGCAGGGGTCAGGTCTCTTCTTTGACCACGTGGTTCTGGTGATGTAACCCAGGCTCGCAGGTCTGTGGCAACTCCTTTACCTGTTAAGCTGTCTCTCTGGCCCCAAACGTGATTTTTAAAATTTGAGAGATAATGTTTTGGAAATTCTGCAGCTGTTTCACTATTTTTTTTCCTCTTAGTTTTGCTTCATCTGTCCTTAGTGAAGAACAAAAAACAAAACGAAAAAAACACCACCACCACCACCACCAAACAATAACAACAAAACCTCCAACCACCAATAAACAAACAAGCAAAAAAAAAAAAAAAAAGGCAAGGAAAAGAAAAACTTCTTTGAACCAAAGTTATCATATGGCTCCCCCCTCACCAGTTTTGCCTCGGGCATCATCTGAAGTGCTGGCAGTGAAGGAAACCCATCCTGCCTCATGCAATCAACACTTTAGTGGAAGGAGGTGGACGATCACCACGTGTAACGCACAGTAAGCATGGCTGGCTTGGCAGGATGGATTGGAACAGCCCCGTTGAAAAAGCCACTTTTGAGCTGTGACCTGGAAGGGAGAGAGGAGGGTAGCATCACATGACTGTCTGAGGGAGGGCACCCCAGGGAAAGAGAGTAGAAAGCCCAGTCATCCCGAGGAAAGGAAACGTATCGGCTCAGGGTCCCCAAGACCAAGTTCTCAGCACCAAGGAGATTTATTTGCTTCAGAGGGGACAGAGGGTCGGGAATAAGGGACAAAAAAAGACAGGAGATGGAGGATGAGGGAGAAGGGGAAGGGAGCAAGAGAGAGGGGGCAGGGGTATTTATCCCAGAAGACAAAGGACTGCCTCTGGATAGAGAGGAGACAGATGTGGTCCGTAGGAAAATGGCGGTTTATAAAGGTAAAAGGGAAAGCCTGTGTTAGGATGAGGTGTTTAATTTTAAATTGGGAATGTTAATTAGGTGAGCCAAAGGGGGCTTCTGATTGCTGGACTTCAATACTTTGATACCTGGACCTTGGCAGTCAGCCTCAGGAGGAGGAAGTGGCCAAATAAGGGAATGGACCTTGGTGGCTGGCTTTAGGGATGTTATCTAAGGGTGGTTAGCAAAGCAGAGGGAATGGGGAGAAGGGCAAAGCCCGCCAGAACCATGCTTGTCGCGCTAGAGCTGGTCAGAGTACCTTCAGAAGTGTCCCGCTTAGAAGAGGGGAAGAAGGGGGTGTGGCTGGGGACGGTGAGAGCAAGGAGTCAGGGAAGATGGGAGGAAAGATCTGTAGGCTCTGTGGGACATTTGTGACGCGGAGTGGGAGAGGGTTTCCCCGAGGGGGTGGAGGGCCGAGGACCTCATTGTCTGGTGTGTGATTTAACCCCAGCGCTCTGGATTCTGTTGAGAATAGACTCCAGGAGGCGAATGAGGGAGCTGGTACCAAAGAGATCATGGCAATGAGCCAGGGAAGTCGTGGTGAAATCGGCAGGGTGTGGCAGCGGGGGCCATGACATGGCTGGATTCTGGGTACGCCTCCCAGGCAGGGACAAGAGGATCTGCGAATGGGTCAGATACCGGGTGGGGGACAAAGAGTAAAGTTGACAGTGACTTAGCAATGTGAAGCAACACAGGGAATTCTCACTGAGAGATTTATTAGTCAATCTGAGAAACATAAGAGAAGATGGGTGACCACCGATATCATCGCTAGGGGACCAGTACAGGCTCCTTGTCCACCACGGATGTGACTCTTCTGGTCCTTCTCAAGCCATACCCCGAGCAACCACCAGAGTCGAAAGAAAACAGCTTACAATTTCCTGCTGTGTCAGATTCCATGGTGCCTCCCATGACAAACAAGTCATTGCAGCAAAAGCCTTGAATATATATTTTAACACTAATGTTGGATTCTACTCCAAAGTCTGCCTGCCTGTCCATCCACCCATCCACCCATCTATCCATCCACCCACCCATTCATCCATCCACCCACCCATCCACCCACCCATTCATCCACCCACCCACCCATTCATCCATCTACCCACACATTCATCCATCCACCCACCCACCCAACTACCCACCGATCCACTCATTTATCCATCCATCCATCCATCCATCCATCCATCCATCCATCCATCCATCCACACTTCTACCCACCCATCCATCCACCCATCCACTCACCCATCCACCCATCCACCCATCTACACACACACACACACACACACACACACACACACACACACACACACATCCATCCATCCAACCCCCACACCCATCCATCCATCCATCCATCCATCCATCCATCCATCCATCCATCCAGATGGCTTGTAACTGACATGGATGATGAATCTGACAGACACCAAGACTTACTAAGGAGTGATAAAAGGTTTCTTTTCTTTTTTTTTCTTTTTGTTTGTTTTTTGCTTTT